CTAAGACCCGCCCCAGCTACCGTAGCCCAAACTGCGCCATCTCTATCGTCTGCCCCAAAATCGGGACAAAAATCTCAGATCTGTTCTCCAAATGGGGCAGTAAAGCCAAGGGGTGGGTAGATTTTTCATTTTTTTTGTCAAGAACTCATTCGAAATCTGGCCACCCGGTCGGCTTCACTGCCCCTTTAGAGGGGGATATCGCCCTGGGCCGAGGCGGGTCTTTTCAGGCGGGAATTTGCTTGGAGTTGCTCTGCGGTTAGCTTCTTCTCCGTCTCGGCGATGCTCTCCAAGAAGGCCAGCCAGGTTGGGTCGGTTTCGCCGGCTGAAAAGAGGGAGGATGAGCTTATAACGTTGGGTCTAATTGGGTTATCACGAGCCGCTGCTGCTCTCTCGACTTTTCGCTCGCTCTCTCGCTCTCTCTCAATCTCTCTCGCTCTCACTCTTGCTCTCTCTCTCTCTCTCTCTCTCTCTCTCTCGTTGCTTCGAGCGGCACGTTACGCGTCTGCACACGTTCACATCACTGCGATGGCCCAAATCCACCCAAAAATCTCTTCAAACTCACCGCCCTCCTCAACCGTCCCCTCGGCAGCATGATGTTCATCTACATCCATGACACTAGGTGGTATTGGTGACGGGGTAGAGGCGAGAGAGACGGGCGTCGGAAATGTGAACACCACCGGCTGGGGCTTCTTCTGTGGCGGGAGAGCCGATAGCGGCGCCAGACCCGATGGAGTCAACGGGGATTGCAGCTGGAAAAAGGTTATGAGATAGTAGGTAAATGGAGTTAGCTAATTTTAATAGAAGAGAGAGACAGAAAGAGAGAGAGAGCGAGAGAGAGAAACTTACCGGCGAGAGAAAGGTGGCATTCGATGTTGACAACGGTGAGGCTGAGAATGCCATCCCGGGATACGGTCCGTAGCGCGCCAACTTACGCGGCACCATTTCCATCTGAAAAATTTTACGTACGTTTAGGAAAATGTACGTGGAGGATGCTACACGACGCTACGTTGCGCCACGCTACGCCCCTTTACCAGCTTTTACGCGCCGCGTTACGTTACGCTACACTACGCTACGTTGCACCATGCTACATCACTTTAAATCCGCTACAACGCACTACGTTATTTTACGCTACACTACGCTACGTACCGCTACACAACTACTTCCCAGTCTTTTTTTTTGCTTCCCTACCTGCCCGAAATCCGGGTGCCCACCATTTGTGAAGATGCGTGGCGGCAAGGAGGTCGGATACCTGAAAGAGGTTCGTTCCGGAATTCCTGCGCTCCGGACACCGTGACGTAACAAACCCTTGCGCGCAAAAAATTCCCAGAGAAGGGCAATGATAAGCTAATTGACGCCAAACATCTTTTGATCCCTTGGGGGGCTTTATGGCAATTTTCGATCAGCACGCCGTGAATCAGATGGTCGAAATTTTATCGTTTCGAAATTTTGGGCTACCAAAAATACCGACATAGTGAAAATTTCGGGATTTTAAAATGCCGACTATCTGAAATTTAGACATTCAAATGCCGACATTCTGAAATTCGGCATTTTTGAATGTCGACATGTGGAATATCGGCATTTTCTGAATGCTGAGCTGACTGTAATGGAAACACTCACCTTTGAATAAAGTGTACGGGCTCGCCCTGAAACGGCGGGTATGCAGTGAGGATACGCTGGAAAATAGGGGTGTAAATAGGAATATAGCGCGCCCCGTACCTCGCCGCGCGACATCTCTTCCGCATCCGACGATTCCGCCGAGTCGTAGGTATCTGGAATAGGTGGGGTTTTGGTTCTCTCTCTCTCGCTCTCTTTATCTCTCTCTCGCTCTCTCTCTCTCTCTCTCGCTCTGGTCTCTCCCTTTTTGATGCAAAAACTAACCTGTAGGCCTGAATCGCTGCCGAGTTAAATTATTCTGCTGTGGGAGCAACTCGACTTTTATCTAAATTATTTTTTGAAGTTTTAAATTATTTTTTCGACGCGTCTACTCGTTAAATCATTACCAACAAGATCGAAATTAAACCCACTTCCGTATCCTCCGGCAGGCTCTCCTTATAGCGACGCACGAACGCATTTTTTCGCATTCGCATCAACCGGTCGCACTAAATTTTAGGGTGTATAATTTTTCTTTTAATTTATGATTCAGAGTTTGTAAACTAAAAATTCTAGCGATTTTTAAAAGCCGTATTTAAGTTTTGTATAGATTTAAAGGTATTTAAATCCCTTACCGATTTACATTTGCAATCAATAAAGGGGCAAAGCGGGGCGTGACCCTTCAAAATTCGCTGAAATCCGTGGCCCTCGCATTTTCGGCAGTAGAGCACGCGGCCCTTCGTTGATGAAAGAGAATTTGGGGAGTTTAGCGCTGAAAAGGGTACTGTATTTGGGTAGCATTTTAGGGAGACTGTTGTTTGGTGAAATGCGCTCTTGGAAACGGTTTAAACGGTTACTGTAGCGCTACTTTTTTACTAGCGCTCCCGCCGCCTCTCTCACTTTCTCTCTCTCCCTCTCTCTCACTCTCTCGCTCTCTCGCTCTCTCTCTCTCTCTCTCTCTCTCTCTCTCTCTCTCTCCCTCTTTGGGGGACGAAGTAAACTAGGCTACCTGCAAGCGAGCCTGCAAATTCTGTTGCGCACGCAAAATTTTTAGGCCACTGATATGGCGCGAAAAACCGGGCTGAAATTGCCTGCTACAGTAGTTTGCCTTGGGAGTTCGGAACACGCGATAACAACCGCGAAATGTCATGGACAAAAAAGAAAATGGGGTCAAAGTTGAGGAATTTAAAAAAAATATCGGGATTCGGGTCCTATGTTACGCTACGCTACGCTATGCTACGGTATGTTGCGCTACGTTACACAGTACATAATACTACATTAGGTTACTACGGATAATGTCATGTTACGCTAGGTTATCAAACTTTAGGTTACACCAGTTTAGGCTACATTGCGCCACGTTACACTACCGTCCGCTACCGTACGCTACGTTACGCTATCTTATGCTACTTTACGCTGATGGGGGCTACGTTAGGCGACGTTACGCTACGCTACGTTGTACGAAACGAGGCGTAAATTATAGTAGCTACCGTGCACCTCAGATAAGCCAACTCTTGAAAATGCATCCCTACCTACCTACCATCTCTCTCTCTCTCTCTCTCTCTCTCTCTCTCTCTCTCTCTCTCGCTCTCTCTCTCTCTTGATCTTCCTACCAGTTCGACTAACTATCCAGACACCCTTATCGTTCGTATCCGAAACCGCATCTCTGTTTTTTTCGCGTCTCCATTCTTGATTACAGCATTGGGCAATCGGAACTCACGGGACTCTCCGCGATTCTGGTGCACACTCATCATGGCTGCTGCAAATAGTAGTGAAGCGGAGGGAGGGAGGGAGGGAGGGCCAGAATCGTTAGTATAACATGTTGCCCGGGTGGTTATGTGAATCGAGCCGTTATCACAAATGTCTCCCTGCCCTTCGCCTAAACGGGACGACTTCTGGGGTGCTGATAAGTCGTAAATGAGAGGAGGAGGGCCCTCAATACTTTTCAAGTTGATACTTTTGTTTCGCGGGTGCGCTTGCACCTAACATCATCCAAATGTGGCAAGTTTTGAGGGTGATAGGGGATAGAGCTGAACGAGAAGTAAAGCGGTGGAAGCATAAACAAAAAACGGTAAGTTTTATCCGAGAGAGAGAAAGAGAGAGAGAGAGAGAAACAGGCGAAAGAGAGGAGGAGAGAGGGGTGAGATATTGAGGATTAGCGAGAGATAGGGAAGATCGAGAGAGTGATAGTTTTAGAGGAAGGTAGACTTAGAGAGGGCTGAGAGAGGCATCGAGAGGCTGAGAAGAGCGGGAGAGAGAGCTGGGTGCGAGAGGGGGCGAGAGAGAGACCGCTAAGAAAACAGCAGAACTGCTTGTTTTCTTAGCGGTCTCTCGCTCTCGCTCCCTTGTTAGCTTGACTGTGAAAACAAAACGCGTAGCAATGCAATTTTTTTTGAGCCCTCGAGACCTAACCGATGGGAGCGGTCGTTTTCGTTGCTTCCTAGTCCCTTTAGTGGGACCAGGCGCACCTTTTCCCATGTATAGAACCAGCTAAGTTTACATGTAATGATTTTGTAAAACAATAAGCTTCAGAAGGGCGAGTCCGTCCCGATTTTTGATTGGGGTTTTATAGCTTTATCGTTTTATCAACCTTGTTTTAACTTCCACTAAACGCTGACTTCTCTTCATTCGCATAACAAACGCGGGGGTGGCAGAACTGGGTGTGGCTGCTAATGATTTATCATGGTAAATTGCTGGCAATGGGCGTGAATGGATTGGCCTGGCCACCGCGCCTAAGCATGCGGATACTCTTACCGGAAGGAACATCAAGGATGACAAAGTTTTGTAAAGGTGAGACTTATCTGAGCTTAGGTCTCCGAACCAGTACTTTTACGTATCGGTAAGTTACCGGGCGAATTTTTCGTTTTATAAAGCGAAAGGCAAATGTTTTTTTCATCTCGTTATACGACTTTTTTATATTGGTTTCTTTGTATATCACACTCGCTCTCTTTATCTCGCTCTCTCTCTCTCTCTCTCTCTCTCTGTCTCTCTTTCTCTTTACGTAATTATCACTGTGTTTCACGACACGTTCTGTTGCGTAGCGTACTGTAACGTAACGCAGCGATACAACGCATAGCTCTTTTTTTTATGGAGCCCCTGCGTTCTCTCTCTCTCTCCATATCTCACTCTTTCTCACTATCTCGCTCACTCCCTTTCTCTCCCTCCCGCTTTCTCGAGCTCTCTCTCGCTTTCTCTATCTCTTCTCTCTCTCTCTCTCTCTCTCTCTCTCTCTCTCTTTCTCTCTCTCTGTCCCTCTCTCTCTCACTCTCTCTTTATCTCTATATTCCATTTCTAACGCTTTTTCTTTTCAATTAACCCAGTCAGCCTAAGCTACTGAAAGATTAATTCCACCCGATGACTCCTTACGTCTAGTTCCACCCCCACACTCTAGCCAGCCGACTTCTACAAGCTATTTTCCACCGACTTCACCACCACTTTTACCCTAGTCTGTCCTGCCTTATCACCAGATTCAGCTCGAAGCTGAACCACAACCCCTCCAGACACTCGAAATGGCTAGGCCTGGCTGTGTGTTTTGAGCGCCCCTAGTCAAGCGAATTGCCGATTGGAAACTGAGGGGAATACAATACGCGGCACTGCTTTAAATCGGGCCGCTGGATTCCGTCTGATCAGCAACAAATCCAGCCGATCAGTACCTGCGTAACAAACATCAACATTCGGCTTTATGAGATGAGTGCGATGGGTTGATAAAATGGGTGGCCAAAGAGGTGTGTGTTTCGTTGGACTTTGGAGGGTGAGGTTTGGGCGTGGATTAGTCGTATTAGTTTTGGAAGGGCTATGCCGGGGTTCAAGGGCTTTGAATTTGGTGTCGTAATGTATTCGGGATTGGTTTGGTTTCTCTATTTTCTCTCTGTCTCTCTCTCTCTCCCTCGTTCTCGTTCTCTCTCTCTGTGTCTCTTTCTTGCACACAAACTCTCTCCCTCCCTCTTTTTATCAACGCATTCCTACGCGTTATCATAAGTAATGTTGCGTAGCATAGCGTAACGTAGCGCAGCATCCGTTTCGCAACGTATAGCTCGAATTATCGTGGTAGGCATCCGTCACACTCCATCTCTCTCTCTCTCTCTCTTTCTCTCTCTCTCTCTCGCTCTCTCTCCTTCTCTCATTTTGTCCAATTTCCTTTTGACCTGCTCTATCATTTTTCCAGGCTATATTTTCGATTCCGATTTTTTGGCATTACGGGATAATACCTCCTCGGCAACTTCATCACTGCGCCCCCTCCGTCAATAGGTATGAAACGGATCCCGTACCTCACGGCAATATATCACGCTCCCCCAAAAATCCAGGCCCGAAAAATGGGATCCTCCGCCAAGGGTGGATGGCATGCAGCAATTTTTTGTCTCCGATAGGCTCCAAATGACAGTGGAGGATACCGTAGGACTAGTAAGATA